TTTGGAATTGGTATTCCAATACCTATTCTGCTTATTTTTATATCTCCTGAACTACTGCAAATTTTGGACATCTAACTGTAACCCAAGACTGATCCTCTATTCATACCTCTATCCAAGATATTATTTTTAGCTGCTGATACAATCAAGATATTGGAAAACCTAGAGATATTACTCTTGCAATAATTATCAAATATATACATCTCACTGCCTTTACCTACTATCGACTTCAAATACCAAAACATCTTTGATCATTACATTGACTTAGTTTATAGTTTTGGATACAAAGAACCAGAACAATACGAAAGATATTTTGAAAACCTAGGACCCTCCATACAACATCAACTAGACGAAGATTATAGTTTTAGCTACCGAGACCAATGAGTTATCCTAAAAACCCTATCTCCTCCTAGTTTACTCTCTTATCAAGATGAAACAGATAACCTTCACTATCAACTTCTCTTACATTCTCCTCGAAATACATTTGAAGTACTTCAAAGACAATTTATTGAAATAGATCTCATTCCTCTCTCAGAAGCACAGATAGAAGAACATAATCTAGAAAGAGAAGGAGCTCCACCTTTAGAAAATCCAGATCAAGAAAATAATTCTGATTCTGATAGTACTGTCTAAAAAATTTTTACCTCAACCAAAACCTTTGAATTACTAGAAAACTACCAAGAATAGCTCGACAATAATTTACCTCTACCTGAAGCGAATCTACCACTACTAGAACAACTTGAAGAAAACCCATTACCTCTTCTAAAACAACTCAAAGTTAACCTACCACCACCACAACCACCTGTAACTCCTTCACCAGTAGTATCTCCTATAAACATAGTTGACGCTGCCCTCAACAATGCTGCCCTAGCTATAACTAACCTGGCCAATACTTTTGCATCAGGTGGTGAAAAGTCTCTTCTCAAAATTGATTTTTTTACTGGTGATGGAAAACAAAACTCTGTAGAATGGTTAGAAGAATTTGAACGAGCTGCTATTGCTAATAACTGGAGTGCTGCTTGACAACTTGCTCTTGCCCCAGCCTATATGAAAGAGATTGCTGCTGAATAGTTTCGAAGTCTTAACCCAGTACCTAATGCTTTTAAGAATAATTATGCTATAGACCGAAGCTTCTACCATCTTTTCAAAACTAAGTTCAGTTCTACCAATCAAAAGATCAAGTAGCAAAAACAATTCTTTGACATTAAGCAAGAAACAGACTCAGTTGATGCTTATGTAACTCATTTCAAGAAGTTACAAGCCCATATAGTACTAATGCTTTTTCTGATGATTTCATCCTTCAACTTTTTATTCAAGGACTTCGATCCAAATATACTATTGAAGTTCATGCTGAAGGACCTGCCGACTTGGATGCTGCCATTGATGCTGCTTGCAATTGGAAAAATAGCTGACTTATATCTGCACCTACCACAGATACAGACCAAGCTATCAAACAACTAACCAATCAGATATCCCAACTTAGTGTTAATCTCACTCAACAGAAACCTGCATCTACTTCCATATACTACACCGAAAACTCTACTACTGCTAATAGAATCAAACAACCACCTATCTGCCACTATTGTGAATGCACTGGATATTTTGTTGCTCAATATCGTATTAAACAGAAGAATCAATTATGATCACAAGACAGAAGCTGAGATTATTACAGTAATCGAAGAAATGATCGATCTAGAAGCCGAAACAGAAATTACTCCAGATCTTTTAACTGAAATAAATCTAAAGATAGGGCTATAACAGTTATCTCTGATATCAAGATTATTCTCGAGAACAAGATAGTTACTACTCCTATGCTGACAACTCTAGATGATCTTCCAATCGCTCACCTTCTTCTTATCACCATGATGTTAACTATCTTGTTCTCGAGAATAATCTTGATATCAGAGATAACTGTTATAGCCCTATCTTTAGATTTATTTCAGTTAAAAGATCTGGAGTAATTTCTGTTTCGGCTTCTAGATCGATCATTTCTTCGATTACTGTAATAATCTCAGCTTCTGTCTTGTGATCATAATTGATTCTTCTGTTTAATACGATATTGAGCAACAAAATATCCAGTGCATTCACAATAGTGGCAGATAGGTGGTTGTTTGATTCTATTAGCAGTAGTAGAGTTTTCGGTGTAGTATATGGAAGTAGATGCAGGTTTCTGTTGAGTGAGATTAACACTAAGTTGGGATATCTGATTGGTTAGTTGTTTGATAGCTTGGTCTGTATCTGTGGTAGGTGCAGATATAAGTCAGCTATTTTTCCAATTGCAAGCAGCATCAATGGCAGCATCCAAGTCGGCAGGTCCTTCAGCATGAACTTCAATAGTATATTTGGATCGAAGTCCTTGAATAAAAAGTTGAAGGATGAAATCATCAGAAAAAGCATTAGTACTATATGGGCTTGTAACTTCTTGAAATGAGTTACATAAGCATCAACTGAGTCTGTTTCTTGCTTAATGTCAAAGAATTGTTTTTGCTACTTGATCTTTTGATTGGTAGAACTGAACTTAGTTTTGAAAAGATGGTAGAAGCTTCGGTCTATAGCATAATTATTCTTAAAAGCATTAGGTACTGGGTTAAGACTTCGAAACTATTCAGCAGCAATCTCTTTCATATAGGCTGGGGCAAGAGCAAGTTGTCAAGCAGCACTCCAGTTATTAGCAATAGCAGCTCGTTCAAATTCTTCTAACCATTCTACAGAGTTTTGTTTTCCATCACCAGTAAAAAAATCAATTTTGAGAAGAGACTTTTCACCACCTGATGCAAAAGTATTGGCCAGGTTAGTTATAGCTAGGGCAGCATTGTTGAGGGCAGCGTCAACTATGTTTATAGGAGATACTACTGGTGAAGGAGTTACAGGTGGTTGTGGTGGTGGTAGGTTAACTTTGAGTTGTTTTAGAAGAGGTAATGGGTTTTCTTCAAGTTGTTCTAGTAGTGGTAGATTCGCTTCAGGTAGAGGTAAATTATTGTCGAGCTATTCTTGGTAGTTTTCTAGTAATTCAAAGGTTTTGGTTGAGGTAAAAATTTTTTAGACAGTACTATCAGAATCAGAATTATTTTCTTGATCTGGATTTTCTAAAGGTGGAGCTCCTTCTCTTTCTAGATTATGTTCTTCTATCTGTGCTTCTGAGAGAGGAATGAGATCTATTTCAATAAATTGTCTTTGAAGTACTTCAAATGTATTTCGAGGAGAATGTAAGAGAAGTTGATAGTGAAGGTTATCTGTTTCATCTTGATAAGAGAGTAAACTAGGAGGAGATAGGGTTTTTAGGATAACTCATTGGTCTCGGTAGCTAAAACTATAATCTTCGTCTAGTTGATGTTGTATGGAGGGTCCTAGGTTTTCAAAATATCTTTCGTATTGTTCTGGTTCTTTGTATCCAAAACTATAAACTAAGTCAATGTAATGATCAAAGATGTTTTGGTATTTGAAGTCGATAGTAGGTAAAGGCAGTGAGATGTATATATTTGATAATTATTGCAAGAGTAATATCTCTAGGTTTTCCAATATCTTGATTGTATCAGCAGCTAAAAATAATATCTTGGATAGAGGTATGAATAGAGGATCAGTCTTGGGTTACAGTTAGATGTCCAAAATTTGCAGTAGTTCAGGAGATATAAAAATAAGCAGAATAGGTATTGGAATACCAATTCCAAAATCTTCCAAAATTACTTTGATGAAAAGTGTGAGGACTAGTTCTTGGTGGTAGAAAGCAATCTTAGCAAGAGAGATCTGGGTTTAAGGTTTGTAAAGTTGTATAAGGAAGAGCAGGGTTTTGAGTATGTTTGTGTTTATGGTTTTCAATATATTAGAAGTGTAGTTGAGTAACTCTATTAGTCATAGAGTAAAGTCCAAAGCCTACAGACTAAGCAAAATAGAAAATAATAATAATATTTCTTGGAGTTGGATCCTTATGCCTATACTTTGGCTTGTGAGGAATCCTTCAATTGTTTCTCAAGGTTGAATCCTTACGCCTACACTTTGGCTTGTGGGGAATCTGTCAACATCTTAGGATAATATCGTCTAGGCACCAGCTAAAATAAACCAAGGCGGGATTGTCATCCGCAATACTCAAATTCAATTCAGAATAACTATTCTCTGGTAAACAGCTATTAATTAAGAGGGGCCAGAATAATGTTGTCCAGTAATGGTTTTAAAATGTTTTTCGTTATGAGGCACCAAATGTTGCAGTAACATGGCCTTCTTAACAGCAGTACTATAACAATGACACAGCTACAGAGATTCTTCACAGGTTTATAGCAGTGTCTAACAGATATGTATAATTTCTACTTCTTTAAGAAACTATATTCTTCTGTCTGTAGCAGTTCGAGCAGACAATAGTTTATAAATAAAATATATGTTTATTAAAGATAAATCATATAGGCTATCCTTAGGTTTCTATTTCTAAAGAATTCTATAATATTACAAGAGAGAATTTAGGGAAGAGAAAAGTGGAGTGGACAATAACAAGTTTGTTATTATTTCAGGTCTAATATTAACTTGGAAAAATTTACAGCCTTTTTATATATTAGAGCTAATCGTTAATCATTGTAGCTAAGTATAGTTTATTTAGTGCTAAGTGCTAATTGTAATTGCTAATTTTTAAGCGTTAAGCGTTAATCACTAATCGCTAATCGCTAAGCGTAATTGTTAATCACTAAGCATAATCGCTAATTGTTAATTGCTAAGCATAATCATTAATTGCTAAGCATAATCGCTAATCATTAAGTGTAATCACTAATCGCTAAGTGTAATTGCTAATTATAAATTGCTAAGCGTTAAGGCTAATCATTATACATGTCTTTTAAATTCTTCTCTAAGATAAATATAATAAAAACTAATAACTAATAACTAATAAAATACAAATATCAAAATAATAAAATAATACTAAGATAAAATAATAAACTAATAAAAATAATAATAAACTAATAAAATAAAACTGTTCTATAACAATATAAATATAATTTTCTTCAAGCAGAAGGTTGCCAATTTTAAGTTTCTAAGAGTTGTTTAAGTTTGAAGAAAAGTTCAAATATGGTTTCATTTGAGTGTGTTCGTTTTTGTATTTGAGTGATAGCACCACAGATATAAGCTAGTTTTTGTTTAAAGTCGTCACCAAGAATATAGAGATTTAAAGTAATATTTTTAGATTCTTCTCTGTCAAGGTCTAATAAATAAATATATAGATTATTGTAGATTTGTTGAGCTTCATTTTTACTTTGACTTGGGTGTAGAAAATGTTGAACTGAAGTAGAGTTTTGTATTTGAATAGAACTAGAGGAGATAGTAAGAGTTCATCAGGTTGACGATATTGTAATAAGGCTAAGATATAAGGTTTAAGAGTGTTAAATTGTTGGATGAGATCCATTTAGTTGTTGTTTTTTTTTTCTTTTTTTTTATAGTGAGATAAAAATGTAGACGTTGAATAAATTTCTACAGTTTTTTATAATAAAATCTGTGGTTTCCAATTTGGCAATTCTTTGTACAGCTTTAATAAATCCTCATTTACTATTTTTGCAAATACTTTACTATTTATAATTCGAAACTGGTATGTACCATTATTAAATTTATTGTGTATATAAAATGGTCCTGTGAATTGTCCTTCTAATTTCTTTCGTAGAATTTCTTTGGTATACAATCTTGCATTAAATAATAAAACTTTATTACCGATTTGATAATCATGAGGTTTAATATATTAATTATGATACTTCTTTTGTTTATCTTGTGCTTTAATTATATTAGTTTGTATTTCAATTCTTTGTTGAGGTAAATATTCAATTAACTTGTATATGTGATGTAATAATTTTTTATGTAGTATTATTCCACAAATATTATCCATATCGGTTATAAATTGAAATTCTATAGATAGTACTGCATCTCGACTATATAGTAAATTAAATGGTTCAAATTTAGTAGTTGTTTGTTGATGTATACAATATGCAAATAGGACAGAAGGTATATAAATATCCTAATCTGTAGAAAATATGTCAACATATTTTGCTAAGGTTTTATATAAAGTTCTGTTAAATCATTTAACAAGTCTATTTGTTTTGAAGTGATAACTATAGAATAGTTTGTGTTTAGTTCCTAAATATTTACCTAGAGAGTCTTTTATTTCATTTACAAAGTGTGTTTTTTGATCAGTTAATTGACGATTCTTCAGTCAACTAAAGAATAATTATAGTGAAATATGATGTAGTTCTATATATAAATTAGGGTGGTGCTCATTTCACTGACAATCACTTTACCAACAGCTTAGTTTACTGACAATTAATTCACTGACAAGTTCATTTCACCGACAATTAATTTGCCAACAGCTCATTTCACGGACAAAGTAATTCTGGCCATTGCCATTAAGGTCAGGCTAGAATTAGAGTAGTTTATAAAAAAAACTTGTCAGTGAAATGAACTTGTCGGTGAATTAATTGTCGATGAAATGAACTTGTTGGTGAATTAATTGTTGGTGAACTAAGATGTCGGTGAAGTGATTGTTAGTGAAATGATACGTATCCTATAAATTATTATAGAAATTTTCTAGTGATTGTCTAAAGAAAACTTTTTTTGTACTAAATTAATCATCTTTGAGTCTCTAATTAAAGTTGTAGAGCTTATTGAGACAAATCTAATAGTAGTTAAATCATCCAAATTGGCCTTGTGGATGCCAAGATATCTTTGAAAAACATTTTGTTAACTATATAAAATTCTTTAAGAATAATCCAAAGAATTTTATATAGATAGTGAAATGTTTTTCAAAGATATTCTGGCATCCACAAGTTTTCTTTAGACAATCACTAGAAAATTTTTATTTTCGCACCTATAGTAATTTATATATAGAACTGCATTATGTTTCACTATAATCATTCTTTAGTTCACTGGAGAATTGTCAATTAATAGTGTTTTTGGACAACCGTGTCTACAAATTATATCTTCATAGAAAAATTTTGCTATAGTGAGAGCTAGAGTATCTGATATAGATCTTGCTTCTGGCCATTTTGTCAGGTATTCTGTTGCAATGATGATATATTTATTTCTTTGTTTAGTTTCTGGTAAGGGTCCTATAATATCCATTCTAATTATATCAAAGGGCTGATTTACTACTATTGGGTGTAAAGGATTGGTTTTTGAAGGCTTTCCTCTTTTTTGACAGGCATCACATATTTGTATATATTCTCTGATATGTTTTTGCATTTCTGGCCAAAAGTATTTTTTGCAATTGCTGTATATGTTTTGTTAAAAAAAAAATGTTTTGCACTAGAATCATAGTGTATTTGGTAAAGAACTGCTTCTATTTCATTAATTTTTAATACATGAAGGGGTATAGAATTATTAAGAGAAGATTTTTTAAATAATAAATTGTTTTGAATAAAATAAGAAATAGCTTTTTGTTTAATACTAGATTGTTATGAAGAAGGTAAATTAGGTGGAAAATTAAGAGTTTGAAGATAATTATAAATAAGATTATAGGTAGGGATATCTATAATGAAATATAAATATAATAAATATTAATATATGGGGTCTTTGCCTTGAAAATGACCTTACGGTACTAGTAATTTTTTTTTGAGTAAACAGTAAATAAACATTGTGTAACTAAAACAGCCCAAATTTAATTGGCCGCTAATTTTAGATATGCTGATCACTGATCATTGCAGATTTTAAGGATCAACCAATCAAAATTATGATGTTTAATAAAAAAATAGGCCCGTAGTAATTATTTAGCTGATTTTGAGCAAGATTTGTAAAAAATTGGCATTTTACTGTAACTAGCATTCGTCCAATAAGTGAAGTTATAGAAGGTTATTTTTTTTTATAACGTTTCAAATAGAAGTCTATCAGTCTTTACATTAATTTTAGATGAGACCGATTACTATCGTTTTAACGTGTAGTATAATAAGCATAAATGTATATAAGTATATTTTTAAATGTAATAAAGTCAGAGTTTTCTTCAATTTTACTGAAATATAAATAAAAGAAGTAAGCTTGTATAAAGTCGAATAGACCTTTAATTGTAATAAAACCAAACATATCTAAAACCTTGCATTTCCTGATTTTATTATTACGACTTTCTTGTTCACGTGATTCGTTATTCGTTTTCCCCAACTTTCATATTTTGTGCTTTTTGTCTTTGTATACCCCAATCTTGCATCTCTTTTTTATTTAAATTACGTATTTCTTACTGGAACTATTAAAACTAAATCAACTTACTTGCACAAGCTCTCTCAATTAATATTACAAAATTGTCTTCACATGATCGGTCCCTATTCAGTTCCAAAAACTACTCAAAAATTTAAATGTAAAAACTAATATATAGAAAATATTACGGAAAAATAAATTTTATAATCTTACTGTTTGAACAAATACCAGTTAAAATATCAATTTTACAAATCTTGTTCTAAGCTAGCTAACTATAGTTGTTAGATGAAGCCCTACTTCCGCCCTAAACATTATTTTGCAATCATCGATGAATCCATCCAAAGTAATTAAATAAATGTGGGTAGGAAACTTTATTCTCTTACTTACATAAGTTACATCTTGTACATATGGAGAATTGGTATAAAATAATCTACTTTTACTGATTGAATCAATGAATATCAGGTGCATACCGGGAGACAAGTTTCCTGATATGTACCTGTTATCTGGCAAACTCTTATGATCATGAATTGCCATCTGTCTTGTTATTTTTTTCATGTATTATGATGTAATCATGTTTATTCGATGTAATCATGTTTATTCAAATTAAAACTCAGTCAATGACTCCCTATCAATCATGATCATAAATTGCCGGATAACACCAATATTGGGCAATTTGTCGAATTCAATAATTTGGCTCAACTGGGCAAATGATTAGCATACGTGCTGCGAAGTGGCACATGTTTAATTGTCATGGTTTTGCCAAATTATCGTTATTCGACAAATTTTGCCCAATATTGTATACTTAGTCTGCCATAGATCTGCCAAATACCTACTGAATGTCAGCAGCATATTGGCAGCATCTTTGTAAGATATCAGGAGGTAGATCGATATTGGTAACATAATAGCGCAATATTGGGATACCCTGATATCTTACTCTTAACAATCTGGGCCTAAAAGTAAGATATCGAGGTATCCCAATATTTTGCTGTTATGTTACTGATATCGATCTACCTCCTGATATTTTACCACTATGCTGCAGATACTTGGCAGATCTATAGAAGATTAATAGGTACATATCGGGAAACTTTTCTCTTGATATGCACCTAATATTCATTGTTTGTTTATCGATATGAAATAAATCTTTTGAGTAGATAGTATTGAGATGACAAACATGAGACCTAGTTTCGTCTTTTGTCAATTAAAATTCTAAATGACAAAATTATGAACTAACAAAAAGTGATAAAATTAATGAAAGGCAATGAAGCTGATGAAACTGTAAAGGGTGTCAAAACTAATAAAGGATGAATATACAAATAAAATGTTGTTGAAATTATTGAAGATTGTGTATAAAATAATAAAAATTTATAAAAATTACATAAAATATAAAAATTTAATAGCAGAATTTGTTTAATAAAGTGACAAAATTTTTAATATATCTAATCTTATTACCAGTTTTCTAATTAACTTATAAATACAGAATAAGAAATAATTATTAAGTTTTTTTAATTGATTAATTGTGCCTTTATTAGTATCAGTACAGAATAATAAACAATATTACTAAAATAAAAGATTTAATATTAAGGTTGTGGA